CCTCCGACTACCCTCCAACAGCCGTGACCAAAGCGCTTCTCGCAAGATCACTCCGAGACGCCTCCCTCTTTCTCTTCCCATCTCGTCGCCACGTGTTGGATAGAATTACTATCTTGACTAGACCGGTTGTGTGCGAGCGAGCGATACACTCGAGTAGCTCGAGGCAAAGGACGAATCACAGTCGGACGAAGGGGGGGGGGGCGGGCGCGGAGGGCCTCGTAGCACGCTATCGAACGCTGCGTGCTACGAAAGAGAGAAACGGAGAAAAGGGCCAACGGACTGTTCCGAGTCTTCTTCATTCCTTTCAATGCGCTGCGAACCGTTTCAACTATTATTGTTCGAAACTAATAAATTATCAAAAAAATTATGAAAAAAAACTTTAATTTCGTTTCTCTCGAGTTTAATATCGATCCATATGTCGCTTTCTTGTATTTATTAAAAAAGCATCTTCCAGGAGAAAGAATTGGTTCGCGCCGTTTATCAGGAATGTTATGTGCCCTTAATTGCCGAGGTATTCCAAGAGTCACACATTTTATCTTCAAAGAACGTGCGGACCGATAGTCGTGCGGATCGATTGCTCTAACGTGGCAGAGGAGCACAGCGTTAATTCGCTTTGATGAACGTTGGTTTGCTCGTGAAACATTCCTCCTCCTCAAGAACTTATATCTCGCGTTCTCCAGATTACATGTGTCCAATTCGAGTCTCGCAGGATAGGATCTTTCAAGGATAGACAACACAAAATTACATTTTATAGAATTCGTCGAAAGATTCGCGTTGGGCAATCGCGTTGAATCGAGTGTAACCGTCGTGTTACCGTGATACGTATAGACAAGCTGCCCACCTATGCCGTTGAAATCAATTTGATGTAACATTATGTTTTCTTGGACCGCAGACGAACATAGATAAGGAGAGCTTCTTATTTAGCTCGGATTATATTGTCCTAGGCACGCACCGAGAGGCGCATATGACCCCTCTTATCTCGCTCTTACCTCGCTCTTACCTCTCGTCGCAATCCGAGACAAAACACACTCGCGGAGCAAAACAAAGAACGTCGCCGTCGAAAATAGACCACCCTCGTCGCGTATCTTTTATTATGTGCGTAAGGTGCCGGGCGATCGACCGCGTGCAGACTTGACTTTGCTGCTTTCTAAATCGCATTTTCGCAAAAGATCAACGTCGCGAACGTAAGATAAATTCGGGCAAAAATTTGGACAATGACCAATTACAATAATTTATTAGCGATTACAATGATGGATCGTTGTAAGACGTAGACTCTTGGACGTACCAATCTTCGGTATACATATGTTTCGAAATGTGTGAATACATGAGTCATTAACGTATGTTTCTAAGCATTCGTTGCTCGCATTCGTTCAAACGTTGAATCACGCTCGCATGCTTTTCTAGTATTCGTTCGCCGTCTAGGACACGCTGCAAACGCATGATCAATCGTAATTAACTTACGCGAGGAAAACAAAGTTTCATTATCTCGTAAGCTTCGTAAGCTTTGCTTATACGTGTTTGCGTTTGTTTTTAAAATCGTACTTTCCTAACCGTAACGCGGGATAAAAATGCAAAACTCGGGGATAATTTCCAACGTGAACGTATGGCAGACGAAGCTGCGTCGAGCGAATGACGTCTGTCGGTCGTTCGCTTAAAAATAGTATCCCGCGAGGGGGATGTCGGAGAGTTTTTAAGCGGATCGAATAACTCGTCCCGAGCCGGTTTCCAAAGGACGACGAATGTTATATCTTCGCTATATAGCCGTAGGAGCGTCGCTCGATGGAGGAAAAAAAAACAAGATATTCGAGACGCCAGACGAGACGCTAGGGTGGACGACCGAAGTCACTGACCTTGGGTAACGATCGCTAATATCTACCGGGCCGTGTCACTGCCAATAGGGCCAGCTGGAATTTTGAAGGGAGCCACACGAATCTGTTCGTCGCTGTCCGTCGCTGTCCGTCGCTGTCCGTCGCTGTCCGTCGCTGGACGTGTAAAGAGAGAGAGGTTTTCTCATTCCTTCACCTCTCGAGCCCTACTTTCGTATCGTGTTACTGAATTCTGACTTTATGTACGGTTTGCCGCATGTGTAAAAATTCGCTTAATCTTTTCCATTTTAACAGTGAAAACTACAAAACTACAAAAGCTAAAAAGTGTTTCACTTGAAAGTGTGTCGTAAAACTTTTATGCGTGTGTATATATATATGTTGCGTATAAATCGGAAAGTACTTTCGACTTACTAGTCACATGTTACTCGTCTACCGTGAGGTAGACGAGTGTGGTGTCATTATGATGATTCTTAGGATGGTTTCTTATCATCCTTTGCCTGGTAACCTACTGACCTACTTGAAATATCGATTTTAACACGTATACTTGAGACTGCTCGTGCCGCGACCGCTTTCATTACTCGCACGCCTTTCGCGACGAGTAAAATCACAGTCTCTTTAAATCAGATATCACCAACTATCTCACAAATACTATACCAAGAAGGCTGACGAAATTGAGAATATATTTTTAAAAATGTATAAATTTTGATTTATTTCTATATAAATCTTTCACATTTATCTTCATATTTTTCAGTTACGCGAATTCATATAGTCATTTCGACTAATATAACTATTATTTTCCGAGCGATACAAAGATACTTGATTAAAAGATACTTGATCTTGTCTTATTTTACCTTGTATCCCTTTGAACAGATACTATTGGAAAAGATTGACTAATTCGATAAACGAAAATCATGTATATCGTAATCGTACCAATGATAATACCGTTATGAACGTTGCCTAATATTCGCGCGGTTCGTCGCCCTATGGCTCATTCAACCCTAGCGCTTCGAATTGTCGTCTGGAAAAGTTAACGATGACGGAAACATCGAGAATGAGAAGAAATAGCAAACAGAAGCGAGGCGGAGGGTGGTATAATGTACAGCCCATACATATAGAGATGTATATGTAGCGAGTGCTCCGGTATAATATGCACGATATATTCTTCCTATAATTTTATTATATCTCATAGTAAGGCGTATGTGTAGCTCTTTAGTTCGCGCATCCGCATATTCCATTTTCAGTCTGGGGCGTGCGTAATGATTGTTCTCTTGTTCGTTAGATTCGTGCATGTACTTGCGTCTCTTACCTACACGAGTGACGCGAGTGACATCACAAGCCAACGTCATAACGTCTCCTCCAGGCTGTACCCGTCACCACCACCGCTACCGCCATCGCCATCGTCGTTCCCGCCCGGCGCCGCCGCTGCCGCTGCCGCTGCCGCTGGCTGCCGTTGTATTGATTTCTAGTGACGTCATCGCTTTATTCGTAAAATATTTTTTCGATCGCGCATTTATTCCACGGTTGTCAAAGTGGAAGATTGTTATTTCAAAAGTTTTAAGTTTGAAGCTTTACGATTTATATAAGAGCAACGCATCGTGACAATCATCTTTCTTAACGTTGAGAACGAATTATCGTGCATTTAATCATTTTTGTCGTGTTTCTTAGAGAACAGAGAGAGAGAGAGAGAGAGAGAGAGAGAGAGAGAGAGAGAGAGAGAGAGAGAGAGAGAGAGTAGTTAGTAGTAGTA